GAGAAGTGGCATGTGACTCCCCTAGACTAAGTAGCCCCTAAGATTGCTATCTTAGATTTGTTTCCTGTTGCCATTACAAAATACCTAAGACGCCGGGCATGGTGGCACATGCCTGTAATTCCAGCACTTGGGAGACTGAGGCAGGAGTATCGCTGTGAGTTTGAGACCAGCCTGGGCTACATAATGAGTTCCAGGTCAGTCTCAACTACATAGTGAGACCCTGTCTCAAAATAACAAAACAAAAAAAACCTTATTTAACTCATGGTTCTGGAGGCCAGGAAGTTGAAGTGTATGATACCAGCATCTCATGAAGGCCTCCTTGCTGCATCCTGACATGATGGAAGGTATCACGTGACGAAGCAGCAAGTATGCTACCTCAGGTCTCAGGTCTCTCCCTCTTCTAAAGTAACTAATGCCACCATGGGGTCCCCACCTGAATGACTTATCTAGTCCTAATTACCTTCCAAAGGCGCACCTCCAAATACCAAGAGGATTAAGTTGCCAGCACCAGACATTACCCCTTCATAACCCACAATCTCCCCAGACTCAAGTGCAACCTGGACACACCTTTGACTGTACGGCTCCTCTTGTTCTGAGTAACAGCATAGTTGAATCAGTTGCCCAAAGAAAGCCGATTGTCTCTATATCTATTTAGTCACCAGGTCATGTTTTTGTATTTTCAAATCCACTTAGTATTCCTCACCTCAGTCCATCACGTCAACAGTTCCTCCTGATTCCTGCAGTACAGCACAAGAACTCTTTTAAATATGCAGATCTGAATGGGTCATCCAGTAACAATTCATATTTTTCCTTCTGCTTACCTATATACTGTAGTTGTATGTTGAATGCTTCCCCTCTTAAACTTTATACACTGACCATATTTCTCAATTCTTAAAACCTGCCATCCCTCCTTCAGGCCTCTATGTCATTTTCTCTGCTAGTTATTCTCCTTTATTATTCTTCAGGACAGCTGGGAAGCCCTTACTGATACAAGCCAGACTAGATATTAGGTAGTCAGCTTTTGTACTTCCATTGTACCTTGCTCTCCAGTTCCTATCACATTCCGCCCCGCCCCCAGTAATAAAGGCAAGCACAGTTATGTGTTGCTCACTAGATCTAGCAAAAACCCATATTTGGAGCCAGGTGTGGTGGCGCACAACTGTAATCCCAGCACTCAGGAGGCTGAGGCAGGAGGATCACTGTGAGTTGGAGACCAGCCTGGGCTACATAGTGAGTTCCAGGTCAGTCTCAACTACACAGTGAGACCCTGTCTCAAAAAAACGTATTTGGTGGGTGCTGGGTAAACTTTAGTTGAATAAATGAACAGATGCCCACTGTCCAAGAGATGAGGGATGGAATGGGTTCCAAGATGTTATTTGCCTGTGATAATAAGCATAATTTAGGCCAGGTGTGGTGGTGCATGCCAGTAATACCAGCACTGAGAGGCTGAGGCAGGAAGATCACTGCAAGTTTGAGGCCAGCCTAGGCGAGTTATTCTATAGTGAGTTCAAGAACAGTCTGAACTAAATAGCCAGACTGTCTCCCAAAAAAACCCAAAAAATTTCCTTCTTTCAAGGTCTGGCTTCTTGCAGTTCCAGGGATAGAACTCAGGAGTGCTCTATCAGAGCTATACCCACCCTTTTTTTCTTTTGGTGTACAGGGTCTATGTTTTTGTTTTTTTTTTTTGGTACCGGGGATCAAACTCGAGTCCTTATGCTTGCGAGGCAGGCAGCGGAACCACTGAGCTAAATCCCCAGCCCGAGGATCTAAGTTGCCTAGGTTGGTTTCAAACTTTTGATCCTCCGAAGACCCAGCTTTTTCAGGACAATACACAGAACTCAGGTCTGCAGACCTGTGGTTCTCCTTGGGCCTATCTTTTTCCTGATAGTCACATGCATCCCTATCACATCTTTTATTTTGGGACTATGCCTTGATTCTTCTTGAAGGCACAGCCTAATACAGTAGGCATCAAAGTATCAGAGTGTAATTACCTGAGAAAAAAGCAAGATAGACAACTAATCTAGACAAGTTTTTTAAATCTGATCCAAATCTCAAGAGATTTTCAAGAGTAAGCAATAGAAATATTTGAAGTTGTTTCTGAATGTTACTCCTGCTGACACCCACCTGATTGATTTACTCTTTCCTGCCATAGGCCTGGGCTCTAACATCTTCCGCCTGCTGGACAGCCTGAGGGCCCTGTCAGGCCAGGCTGGATGCCGCCTCCGTGCCCTACATCTCAGTGACCTATTCTCACCACTGCCCATCCTGGAGCTGACACGTGCCATTGTTCGAGCCCTGCCCCTGCTTCGGGTTCTCTCCATTCGTGTTGATCATCCAAGTCAGCGGGACAACCCTGCTGTGCCAGGGAATGCTGGGGCCCCCGGCCACATAATTGGAGATGAGGAGATACCAGGTGAAGCACAATGTGTACACACACATGTCTCTACACAAATGTGCAAGTGCAATGGTGTGGGGAAGGGGGAAGGATCTCCACTCCAGGTCTGCCTTTGACTCATTTCTGGCTCATCTGGAATCTGTTTCCCCTTGAGAGGCTACTGTTCTTTATAACCTTGGCTGGATAAGGCTCAGACCACCATAAGCCCAGTAGTGACCATGGCAGTTTAGTTTCCAGAAGAGATCTGAACCTAGACCAAACTAGGTCCCCTTGCTCTACGTTCCCTTAGTTCCTATATGCCTGTCCTACCATGCTGCACATACACTCTATCATATTTGCCTACATCTGAATGATGTAGTCTTCCTGGACTGAAACCTCTATAAGGACAAGGACCAAATCTCATATTTAGTGCTCTATTCCCAGAACCAAGTACAGTGACTGACAACTGGATGGATAAACTATTTTTAGCTTCTCCCTTAAAGCCAACAGTGGGACCTGCTATTGGGGATGAGGTAGATAGCCAGCTGGAATCTTCTCTCCCTATCATATCCAGAAAACTGCCTTGAGCAGTTGGAGATGGGATTTCCACGAGGAGCCCAGCCAGCCCCACTGCTCTGCTCTGTTCTCAAGGCCTCGGGTTCTCTACAGCAGCTGTCCCTGGATAGTGCCACCTTTGCCTCTCCCCAGGATTTTGGACTTGTGTTGCAGACACTCAAAGGTAGGACCCAGCCAGAATGGTGAAGGAGGGAGGGCAGCTAGCTAGCAGTGTTCTTTGGAAAAGCTAAGGCCCATGGTCTCTGCCTCCTATCCAGAGTACAACTTGGCCCTGAAGAGGCTGAGCTTCCATGATATGAATCTGGCTGACTGTCAAAGCGAGGTGCTCTTTTTGCTACAGAATCTGACTCTTCAAGGTAATTTCCTAATCTAGAACCTGGGCATACTGGGTCTTCATTGTGGCTCTACTGCTGTCTCACTGTTCAACTGTAAGATATATAATCTACATGACCTTCCTTCTAAAAATTTGTAACTCAGCTCTACAAGCATGGAAAATTACTCACTTTTAGAGTACTTCACCCACTTTTTTTTTTAACCTTTCATGGGCTGACAGAAGTACTGGTGGGGGTAAAAATACATGTGTTGTGCCAAGCTCCCCTCACTGACTTCCCTAACCCCATCTCTGCATAGAATGGTCAGTGGATAAGAGAGGGAAAGGATGTGAATGGAGGACTGTCCATGCAGAGATCCTCCTTCTAGTAACACTTAGGCTCAGTCCTGTGTTTGAACCATTTGGGGCAGGAGGGGAAGCACCAATCCTAATGCAGCCATCCAAACCTGCTCTTAATTTCTCTTCACAGAGATAACCTTCTCCTTCTGCCGTCTGTTTGAGAAGCGCCCAGCCCAATTTCTGCCTGAGATGGTTGCTGCTATGAAGGGCAACTCTACACTGAAGGGCCTTCGGCTGCCTGGGAACCGCCTGGGTGGGAGCTGGACCCAAGGGAGGGAGAGGGGGAGAAGCCAGGCCTTTGAAGAAACTCCCTGGGTAGAGGCATAGACCTCTCCACTAGAAAAATGTCAGGGCTTCTCCTCAGCGAGAGTTGGATTGAGATACCCTTGTTCTCTATGCTTGGATGGAGATAATGGGCACTTTTCCCCTTCTCTCCAGGAAATGCTGGCCTGCTGGCTCTGGCAGATGTATTCTCAGAGGATTCTTCCTCTTCTCTCTGTCAGCTGGACATCAGGTACATTGGGGGGATGGAACCACAGAGCTATAGATCAGGGATCAGTTGCTTCCTGGATATCTAATCCATCTCGTCTCCACCAGTTCCAACTGCATCAAGCCAGATGGGCTTTTGGAGTTTGCCAAGCGGCTGGAGCGCTGGGGCCGTGGAGCCTTTGGTCACCTGCGCCTCTTCCAGAACTGGCTGGACCAGGATGCAGTCACAGCCAGGGAAGCCATCCGGCGGCTCCGGGCCACCTGCCATGTGGTTAGCGACTCATGGGACTCCTCCCAGGCCTTCGCAGATTACGTCAGCACCATGTGACGGGGCCCATACCTCACAGGCCCATGTTCAGCCAGTAATGGCTGAGGCATGGGCTGCCCAGAATCCCCACCATCAATTCTGTCTTTTCTCTGTCACTTTTTTTCTCCTTTTTCATCTTCCCTTGCACTGAGGTCCTGGAGGCCTCAATGTAGACCAGCTAAGGCATTCCCATAGCTGGGTTTAGGGCCTTTGGGCACCTTACTCAATACTCTGGGAACCCTAGGCCAGGAGGATATAGTGGTCATCACTGTCACTGAGGACAGTTCTCACCCCTTGCCCTAGGGTTCCTGCTTTCCCTCAAGCAGGTACCCAGGCTTTAGAGAAGTGTAGGAGTGCCCACTAGCAGGCCTCTTCCCTCCTGGGCTTACCACACTGCTTCCAGGCCTCAGTCCCTTTTCATACCTTTATTCCTTTCTTTTTTTTAACCTAAAAAAAGTTTTTCTTATAAAATAAATTTTGGGCAAACATCATACAGCCCTTCTTGATGATTTTCTCCCAGAGAACAAAATTCAGCAGGGTATGGTGTGGCAGTGAGCCCCTTTCCCTGTATCCTTCCTCTAACAGCTACACCTAGATCAGCTGGTTATCAGCGAAGCCCCCGCTGCTCTTCATGGGATCGCTGGTGGAAGACGAAGGTGATGGCTGTGGAGGCAGCGTCCCAGGCAGCCTGGAGTACCTCATCCTGCAGACCCCGCTTATCAGTGCTGTGGTTCCACTGAGCCAGGTCTGAAGTACAGTCAGAACCATCAGGGGGTGGCCGGACCTGACGGCTGTTAACACATCGGCGGCACTGTAGCCTGGATGAGGACAGAACTGAGGTCACTACACATCTCATTTCTGTGCTGTGCAGGTAGCTCAAAGACGATGACAAATGTACTCCACCTACCTGTCATGTGTGTCACTAAGGCTAGCTTCATCCAGGGTAAACAGCTCCTTCAGCTCACCCAGAGAGAAGTGCCGCTCCACATCCTGCTCCTCGTCCACCACACAGCTACTTAGCGCCTTCTTGTGGCTCTGCCGCTGGAAGATCTTCTCCTCGATGGTTCCTGCCTGAGGGAACAGGGTTAAGGGATGCAGGGCTCAGTAATCCCCATAGAGAGGGAGCAGTAAAACCCATGGGTTGAAACTACAGCCACTTGAGGAAAGATGGAATGAAAAGTACATCTACTGGAATACTCACCTGGGCCTCATTTTGCAAGTCTACCTCCCAGGAACGTGACTTGTACATGTGCACCTACCCAGGCTATTTTCTGCACTATGAAGGGTCTCAGGGCCTGGAAAATTCCTTTAGGATGAACTGACATTGCCTATAGAAGTTTCAGACTTCCACATTAAGCCCAACTTGCATTAGTTCAGTAGTCATTTGGGTATCCAGTCTATGCCAGGCACTGTACTAGCAAACAAGAATCGGGTATGATCCCAATCCTTGACTAATGGCAGAGACAGACAGACAAATCTATACAATAAGATATCTATACAGGATACACGAGGGATGGCAGAATAGTGTAAAAAAGCTTAAAAATAGATTGTCCTTAAGCTGAATCTTGAAAAAAAGACAGTGTTTGCAAGGGAAGAGCAAAGGCATTCCCAACATAGAAACAGGAACAAACTGGGCTTATTACAGGATCATGAAAAGTTCTTACTTTGGAGGCTGAGCCTACAGGGTCATCTGGGCCCAGGAGTTCAAGCCAGCATGAGAGACTCTGTCTCAATCAATCAGGGAGGTACAAGGTGTGTTAAGGCTGACTATAGGATAGAGGATAATGGAGGTATGACTGGGGAAGAGGAGACCATATTGGAGAAACTTGGGTGCCAGGCTGAAGGACCTTTTGTCTTTGAAGAGATGAGCAAATTTATAATTTTTGGAGAGCTTATTTTGGAAGCACTATGTAAAGAATGGGTTAAAATGGGCTGGGGATTTAGCTCAGTAGTTCCACTGCCTGCCTTGAAAGTGCAAGGACCTGAGTTTGATCCTGGGCACAAAAAAAAAAAAGAATGGGTTAAGAGCCAGGGGTGGTGTCACACGCCTGTAATCCCAACACTCTCGGGAGGCTGTCAGGATTTGTCAGGATTGCCTTGATTCAAGGAAAGCCTGGACTACATAGTGCATATAAGGCTAGCCTGAACTATACAGCAAGACCTTGCCTTAAAAAAAAAAAAAAAAAAAAAAAAAATTTTGAAACACAAAGACATTGTTAAAAAAAA